TGTGGTAGTAGGTGTTGGACGTGTCTCGGCAGCCGCTCTTCACTAATATCACAGTGGACATTGGGCGGCCCCCATCATGGCCCCCTCGGGGCTGACACCAATGGACAAAGGCTACCAGTGCCAAGGATTGCCTGCCAGAGGACTGACCTACAGCCTGGCTGGTGGCTGCTCTGTGACAGATCCCCCAGGACAGAGACTGTGGGCTCTGTTTTCTGAGGGTCTTCAGTAGGTCCCCCAGCTGCACCTGGAAGTTTCAGAACCTACTTCGGGGACCTTCTGTCCTGGGCAGGCCCCTCAAGTGTGGCCCTCTCTGGGGTCAACCCTTCTTCCTGCTCCTCCCTCCCCAGTTCAGCCCCCCTCACTGTCAGGGTTGGGCCAGCCCCTGCACTGCCTCGCCGAGTGGCCTGGGCCAGGTCACTCCACCTCTCTGTGCCTCAGTTTCCCCCCCTTGAGTCCCCTAGGGCCTGGAAGAGTGGGAGGTATGACTAGGGGGCAATGTCGCTTCCAGGGGGAATTCTCAGACCTGGGGATTCCCCCATGCTCCCAGGGGAGGGGAAACCTTTTTCACTCAACATTGTAGGGGGCAAACTCCGGTGCACCCCCTGCTGAGGAGCAGCGCCAGGAGGGGACCAGAGGGGGTGGTGTGTTGCTGCCTGGGATCTTGGGGTTGGGCTTTGCATGGGGGCGGATGGGGCTCGGATCAGTTGGGTTCCTGCCCCGCCCCCCTCAGAGAGAAGGCAGTAGCCCCAGGGCCGGCTCGTGTTTGTACATTGCACAGAAACTTGTGTGGGTGCTTTAGTAAAAGACGTGAATGGAGGAGCCCCTTTGTCTGTTTGGGGATGGGGATCTGGATCCCTAAACCCAGACCCGGAGTGTGTTATGGGAGGGCCAGGGGGAACCAGGACAGCCTTATCGGTCTGGCCCAGGCTGTCCTGGTTCCCCAGGCCCCTCGAAACGCAGTGGTTCGCTAGACTTCCGCCGGCTGGAAGGAGAGATGTTTACCCTGCCGCTGCCTCCCGGCCAGAGGAGACAGAAGTAATAAACCCATTGGGCTCAGATTTCTCGGTTCTTTCACCTGCCCTGAAGCCGAAAGGTGCTTGGAATCAGGGCGGGGTGGATGGTTCGCACTCTAAAGCCACCCACCACGGCTGTGGGTTGGGCTTCACGAGCCGGCGCCGCCCTGGAATGGGCGGGGGCGGGGCCTTCTGGGGGTGGGGCTTGGGGTAGCGGGCCCCGTTTCCCGGGTGACGGTCGCGCGGGAGGGGCGGGGCTAGAGCTCCAGTCCCGCGGCCTGGCTCCTGGGTCCCCGGCCACGGAGAGTCGGCCAGTAGAAGACAGCGCCAGAGATCGGCGGCTCGGGACCGGGCAACTCTAGTCGTAGGGACGGGCGGCAGGACGGGGTGGGGCTGGGGAGAGGATGGCCCGACCGACAGGTTGGGGGCGTGGCATGTGTGGGCGTGCTCGGCCCCGGGAGACCCGCGGTCTCCCAGTAACCCAGCTCTCCGACCTGCTGTCCGGCCGTCCGCGCGTTGTGGGGTGGCGGTGCGGGCAGGCCATGCCTGGGGACTCTCCGCCGCTGTGGGAGCTGGTGGAAGAGCACGTTCCGCTCTCGGAGCGGCCCGAAGTGAAGAGGATTCTAGGGGAGACGACGGTGGACCTGAGCCTGGAGCTGCGGGCAGAGGTGGGGCGTGGGAATGTGGGCCCCACTCCAGGCCTATCCCACGACTTGGGTGATTTCCTCACCTCCTCCGGGTCCCTGGCTCTGCCCGGTAACTTTCGAGCTCTTGTCGGATCTCACTGTCCGCCCAGCCCTCTGGCTACCAGTTTAACTCTGCCCTGCCCCTCACTCCCCTAGCTCCCCTTCCTCCCCTTCCTTCTCCCCCCGCAGTCGCAAGGGGTCCCAGCTCTCCTTGCAGGTGGTGATGCTACGATCACTGCTCCGAGAGGCTCGATCCTTCCAAGCCCCTGGTTCGCGCCCCACCTCTGACCTCTCCTCCCTTCTGGCACCACCGCCCCTCCTAAGAGACCTCGTGCGCCAGGAACTGCGGCAGCTGCTCCAAGGTCTCCGCGAGAAGGCCATCTGTGAGGGCAGGTTGGAGCCTCAGACCTGGGGCTGGGCCCTGTCTCCAGAACTCAGATGGGCTAGCCCTGAAGTTGACAAGGGGCCAGGGTCGCCTTTCCTGTGGTTCCCTGGAAGGAGCCCCTGAGTGTCCCCCGTGTGCACCTTCTGCAGGGACCAGACCCAGGCTTGGGTCCAGTATAGCCCCGGGGTCCTGCGCTTTGCCTTGGAGGAGCCCAGGCGTGATTTGCCAGAGCAGGGGATATTCCGCCTGAGAGCTGGTGAGCCCAGGTATAGTGGTAGGAAAGGAGGGGTCTGTTCCGGCTTGGCAGAGGCCCCAGCCAACTGGCGGGTCCCACCTGCCGGTATGGAGGAGCTCCTGGTCTGGGACTGGAAACTTCTACAGCCACTTGTTGTAGGGATCAGCACATGAGGGCTGCAGGCGCAGGAGACATGTACCAAGCCTGGAAGCTTGGTTTGATCTGGGTCTTAGAGCATGAGGAACAGACTTCCAGACAGATAAAAAGAGAAGAGCTTTGCAGGAAGAGGGAGCACTACACGCAGACATGGGTGGAAGGAAAGGCTTCATCCAGTGGTCAGTTGTTCCTCCGGCCTGGAGAACAGCTGCAAGGGCTGAGCTAGAGAGGGCTGGGGACTGCACGAGATAAATGAGCAGCAGCGTGTTCATCACTGAATGGCAGCAACTTATTTGTCACACATCCTTAGGAAGTGGGTGATGTCCCCATTTTGCAGATGAGGAAACTAAAGCTCAGAACGAATGATTGATTTGTCCAAGCTCACACACCGTGAAGGGTGGCAGAGCCCATTTGCAAACCCAGGCTCCAGAACTCCTCCTCTTAGTACCATTTTATGTTGCCGTTGTGAGAAAACACACAAAATTGTCTAGGAGAAATGGCATGTGTGTCCTGAAGGCCTGGGGTGAAGCAACATGGGAGAGTGATGTTGACTTCATCTGCCAGCAGCTGTCACAGGGACCTCAGCGTCATCAAGGACCAACTGAACGTGTCCCACGTTGACCAGGTTGCCGGATACCTGCGGTGAGGCCCCTGAGTGTGTGCAGTGGGGGTCGAGACAGGGAGGGTGGGACGGGGGATGGATCCTAACGTACTGGGACTATGAGGAAGGAGGAGGGAGGCAGCATAGCTGATGGGGAGACCCAGGAGAGTAGGGCTGAGAGGTGGAAGGGGCAGGGTGCTGGTGAGGTTGCTGCCAGGAGGTAGCCAAGTAGGGATGCCAGCAGGGGCCTTGGCCTGAGGACTTCTATCCTGGGGTGTGGGAGAGAGATGGACCACAGAAGAGTCTTTTAAACAGCGGAAGGGCTGTGATCTGGGGGAGAATGGAGGCAGGAGGAGTTGCAGGCCCAATACTGTCGTGAAGAAGAGAGAATGGGCCCCCCCAGCGTGGGCGCTGGGAGGCGGGCAAGGAGAGGACACATCCTGCCCAGGAAGAGGCCGGCGGGGCTGCAAGGCCGTGCTGGGATTGCACTTGGGCAGCAGAGGGAGAGGTGGGCTGAGAAAGGAGGGCCTGGAGGGAACTCCTGGTAAGGCTGGAGGCTGGGTCTGTGTGGCGGGCTCTGCTGTGACCCGGGCCTGCAGCACTGCTGCCGGTGCCGCACTCCCCCATGTCCCAGGGCCCTCCTGGAGGAGGAGTGTCGCAAGTTGAAGAGGGAGATTGCCATCCTGCAGGTGAGCGGCAGCCCTGGGCCTCCCCACCCCCAGAGCCTTTCTGCTGAGCCTAGACACACCTGTCTCTCACCTGGTGTGTGAGATCCACGTACATGTGTGTATGTGTGTGCAAAGATTGTGTGAGTCCTCTGACCATTTATCCTGTATGCACACTTCCCGTACGTGTGAATCCAGATTCTGGCTGAGTCCCTAAGTCCAAGGTCAGCACTTTTAGATTAACCTGCTGGATTTGCCCCTGGTCTTTTGCCTCCTTCTCTTCCCCATGTCTGGGTTCGGGCCCGCCACTACCTTGCCAAGCTCAGCTTTTCAGGGAGGCTGGTGTTCCTCTCAGGAGTGTCCTCAGGTGGCTGGGATGAGGAGGCTGCATGGGGTGGTTCCCGGGCCCCACCATGGGTATCTTGGCCTCTGCATCCTGCCCCGCCCCACCCCGCCCCTGCCATAAGACTGGGCACTGAGCCAGCTCTCCCTGCAGCGCCGCCTGGAAGAGGAGTATACAGGGGCCCCTTGGCCCTCTGAGGCAACCCTAGAGCCCACCCTGGCAGGTGAGGACCCTGGGCAGGCCCCAGAGCGCCCAGCCTCCTGTCCCTGTCCCGCTCTTGTACACACACCCTGGAATTGCTGAGCGCTGTGTCTCAGCTAGACCTCTCCTCCAGAGCTAAAGGAGCAGAAGGCAGCCATGCAACAGGAGCTGCGGGCACCTCTGAGGCCTTCCTGTGTCTCCCCCGGTCACAGGTAAACCAGAGCAGGTGGACAGCTGGACGGGGTGGGCTAAGCGTCAGGCCACAGCCCCCTCACAGCTACTCCCTCCTGTTCAGGCTGCGGCCCTTGGAGTCCTCCAGCCAGGGCCTCGGACCACTGCCTTGCCTCCGTGGGGCTGCTGGAGTTTGGGCCAGGCCTCTCCAGTGCCACCTGCCCTCTCCTCCTCTGGAGCGCTGCCCCAAACCTCAAGGCCTGGCCGCCACCTGCCGCTGGGGACGGAAGCTTCAGTGCAGCCCCAGAAAAAGGCCAGCTTCCACTCCGATGTCCAGTGTGGCGCCCCAGGCCCCAACCTGAAGGGCTGGGCAGGAAGGAGACTTCCGCTTCTGCTGGAACTCGCCCTGTCTGCTGCTGACACCTCTCAGCTGCCATGGCCCAGCCCACTTTAGATCTAGTCTTGGATGAGCCCTCACCAGGATTCCAAGGCTGTCTGTCTGTCTGTCTGGCCCTCACCCTACCCCCTCGCCTGGTCCTTGGTGTCTGGTCCTGACCATCACAGCCTCTGGCCTTTCTCTTCCCAGACATCCCTCAAAGGCCTGGCAGGAAGAGGTCTCATCCCAGCCCTGACTCTCGTCCCCATGGGGGACCCAGACAAAGCACAGCAGCAGCTCAGAGACAGGAATAGAAATTTCATTAAAATCTATGGACTTTAAAATCCTAGTGGTGCACGGATGGGCAGGGGTGGGCGGTGCACCGTTATTGCTACAGAGGATTAGAGGCGGCTCTTCCGGGGTTGTCACTGCACAGAGGGGCACAGAGGACGGACAAACGGATACTGCAGGGCTTGGGGGAAGGAGCTCTGGCTCCAGAGAGGGGGTGGGGCACGCCGGCTGGGGCCATTTGGCACGTGAACAAGGGCAGCCCATTTGGGGAAGACTGGGCCTTTAGCCTGGCAGAGGGAGGGCAAGGGGGTGTCACGCAGGGTCCCCTTCCCCAGGGCTCTGGGCTCAAGCCTCCTG